AAAAAATACTTTAAAGATGTATCTGAAAATTACCTAAGATCATCTTTTGAGAAAGACTAGCTTCTGTCAGGGTTAAAGAAGAAAGTTCTTGCCCCACTTTTAAAAAATTATGAATTCTTTAATTATGTGCCAAATAAGTACTTTAATTTACATCAAAGACAATCAAAATACACAAAGCCAGCCTAGAGAAATAAGGCTAATAGGACTGCTGAATATAACACTTAGGATTTATTGGTATGCAGGCAGAAAATACTGAAACTCTATTTATATTTTAAATTTACATTACCATTTCTATTGCATAATATACATAATTGTTGTAAGATTTTATGGTTGTATTGTCTATAATAAACAATGTATTGAGAAGTGCATACTGAAAAGTATTTTTACTCATGTGTTTCCCTATCCCAAAATTATACATTTACTGATTTTAGTTTACTATTTTTATCTCTTTTCCCCAAAAAGTTTGCCAATAACTTACTACTTGATTAAGTCTATGAAATAGTAATGTAATGATTTCTTTTTTTTCCTTTTTTATTTAGGAGAAATGCTGTGTCTCCAAGTATGAGCAATTGCTTAAGAGATTCTTTCAGCGACTGTCATTGATAAATTATACCAATGAGCCTTGTTTTTAACCTTATCCAATCTCCTATGTAAGATCCAAAAATTACCATATAAGGTAGAATGGAGTAGCAGCAGAGAAAAAGTACACATACTTCATAATGACCAAATACACATATTGTTTAGACCTAGTTGTCTCTAAATAAATGTTGGTTAATAGGTTGATAACTACTTACCTCCCAGGCACAATGTAGAATTTAAATCCATTTTTCCTCACAGAATGTTCCCTAGCTTTCCTGAATCAGATTCTCCTAGTGTTTTGTGAAACCCTAGGAGGGCATAAGACTACACCTACTTGTTCAGAACAGGGGTGGAATCTAGCCATCCGTATTTATCTAAAAGTGCTCCAGTGCTTCTAATGCATTTTAAACTTTGAAAACCAATGATTTCGGGGTGCCTGGGTGGCTCACTCGGTTAAGGGTCTGCCTTTGGCAAAGGTCATGATCCTGGGGTCCTGGATCAAGCCCCACATCCAGTTCCCAGCTCAGCAGGGAGCTTGCTTCTCCCTCTCCCTCTGCCCCTCTGCCCCTCCCCAACCCCTCCACCACCCCCCCACTCCACTCACGCATGCACACTCTCTCTTGCTCTCAAATAAATAAATAAAATCTTGAAAACCACTGATTTCAAGATCTTTACCTTGATAGTTTCCTTTCAGGACCAAAAGCATACCACAAAATCTTTGCAATCTTTATTCCCTGAATTTCCATACCTTTCTAAAGAAATTATTCTGGAAGGATATAGCATAGTATACTGATTATTGACATATTGTTTTGGTAGTTAGCCAGTTATCAAGATTTATTGTACAGTGGGGTAAATATTGACCTCAGCATTGGCCTATCAGTTACCCATTAACTGCATCATCTTTTTTGCCTCAGCAGGAGACAGTGGATGGGTCTTTAACTGTGGCCACACTGATTTAACCATTTACCTGAAATATGTTAGAGGAATTGAAAGCAATACTATTGATGAGGAGAAGAGTAGAAAAATTTATGTAGCAAGATAAATGGCCGATATTTAAAAAAAATCAAATGTACTTGCATTTTATTAAAAAAAACTTCATTCATAAAACTCAGATGATCAAACAAAAACAAAAACATACAAGAAAAATCTGAATATAGAGTTTATCTTTATGATGGAAGTATACCAATGTTTACAACAGAGGTCAGTGAATCTTTATGGAATGAACAAACCTATTTTCAAAGGAAATGTTGTTTGTTCCTATCAACAAATACAATACTGAGAGGTAGTCTTATAAGGGGAAAAGTAAAGATAAAGAAAGGAAAACAATGTCGTGATGGGTACTATGGGCTTCTGGCAGAGTCTCCCCAGGAACACGAAGAAAAGGACTCTTCATTTCAAGTAAATCTGAGTTGAATACTAGAAAGCTTACTGTAAGGGTTAAGGTGATGGAGCCCTGGAAGGTGGAACAGGGCAAGTGGAGTGGAAGCAGTAGAGATTGGAGTTGGATAGTATGACATCCCCAGCTCTGCCTTGTGCACCCTCAGACTTTCTTCAAACAAAACACAGCCATCCTTTCTGAAGAGACCGATGGTTCAGAGGGATGGTTTTTGTTTTGAGGCATTTGGGATTTTTTTGGGGGGGGGGGGAGTACTGGTTTTGAATTTTCTCCAACATTGATCCACCTTATCTTTTCTACATTAAACATCAGCCTAGCAGCCTCGATAATCTATAAACATCCTTTTGAAAAAAAGGTGCTTCTGAAACCTAGGGTATCATTCTCAAAAGTGCCTTGAATATTCCTCCAGGATGGCATTTCTCTCTGCTCTCTGCAGGAAGATCCCAACCTGCATGTGTGGCAGCATCATTTGTCCTCATGGTTCTTGAGGGGCATTTGGGAAACCTGATTTCATCTCTGGGTAGAGCTGCCACACAAGGAAGTGACCTACACATGACATGTCAAACAGTCACTGTATTGGGGAAAAGGCGAAAGCTGCCATGTCCCCTGGAAGTTTCCCCAGTGGTACTGGGCTAACTTCTTTGTGAGCTGCTCCCAATCATCAGTTTTTAGGAGGTATATTCCTGGCTGTCAAGCCCCAGTGCTGCCTCATTTACACAGATAAGGAGTTCTAATAAGATACTTCGGAAAGTCACTTATACCATAAGGTATTCACATTATCTCAAGACATTTCTATTTGGCTAATAGGAAATGAAAGTGTGGATTAATGCCTTTCGCATGTCATTAAAAAACTGAGAGGGAGAAGCCTCATTTTGGCCACCAGGGGCCTTCTTCTCATGTCTGTTCACTGCTGTCTCAGCTCATCGCCTTCAGTGCTTTCAAAAAGCTAAGGATGAATTTTGACTTCATAGAAAATGAGTTTAAACCAGAAAGTCCATGTGGTATCCAAACTTTGGATTACTGCCATAGCACGTTGCATTTCACCTTTGATTTAAAGATCGAGAACATGTGGCTTCCTAAAAATGAAAAATTCTTTTGCTCAATTCCCAAAAGGCTAATGCAAGCAGCTGTTAAAGGAGAAATAAAAAGGCAGACACCAGAATTCCAAATAAGCCAAACTTCATACAATTGGGTCACTGATCACCTCTCCGTAACCCTGAGGAATCCGGGTAGCAAATAGGTCTCCTTCTCTCTTTAGCTGCACCCTGATCAGATGTATAATTGCTGGATATAGTTTTAAGTATAAATCCTACAGAATATGAAATTGGTGAAACTAATAACAAAATATGGTAAAGGTAACAATGAGTGATTAAGAACCAGGCATGGTGCCAAGCGTCTTATATGTAGGAGTTCATCAAATCCTACCAAACTTGGAAGGCAAGAACTAGTATGTTAGCCCATTTTAAAGATAAGGAAAGTTAAGTTGCTAACTTTAGTGAAAGAGGTGCTATTAGAGAAACAAGTAGTCTGAGTCTTTAGCCTACAGCTTTAGCTGCACTTTAAAAAATAAAGGTGATCAGCAATTAATTTTCTAAAGGGAATTTTCCCATTGGACAAATGCTTCAATATTTGCCTAAATAAAGGATTTCTCAAACGGTATCAAGATCCATATATAGATATTGAAACCTTTGCAGCTCTAACAAGCCCTTTCTGTCAGCAGATGGTGGGGACTCCGAAGAACAGCCTTGCTCAGCAGAGGTCAAACCACCTGAAGATGAAGTTTGAAAGTTTATTCAAGGACATTAAAATGCTCCTCCAAGGTTATAAGTCATGGAAAGTAGGAATGATGCCACTTAGAGATAAATGGCAGGGCTATATCAGGGTGGGGTTACACTGCTTTCTTACAGGAGGGGCTGCTTTTCATTTCAGTTAACATGCAAGTCATAACCTACATTTTCTTTTCTTTGAGATATTGTTTTAGTGGGTGGATTCAAGGCAAAGCTTCACCAAGTGAAAACTCACCCTTCTCTTTCTAGCTTCTAAATTGATGCCTACTCGCTCCTCTGAGCCCTGTTTTATGTACTACAAAGGACTGGAGATTTGTAGGCCGTCTGCCACATGGGGAATGTAGCTCCTACCAAAGTCCATGCTCTTCATTTTCCCATCCTGGAGACCCTGTGCCTCGCCACAGCCAGCCATCCCAGCAAGGAAAACGGTCCCTGACTTCTCAGTTAAAGAGAAAGCCTTAGGCTGTGAGGAGAAGCAGGCCACCCAGCTTAATTAAACCATTACAGTTTTTAGAGTTTTTTAAATACAGGCAATTTGAATATATAATTTAGCCTGAGCACAGCCTCATCCTATGTTTCCCTTGGTCTGCTCAGAACCAGATTGTTACGGACAACAGCGGGAGTAACCTTCTGGGAGGACAGAGTCAGTTCCTCATGGTCACTGTGGTCTCCACGATGGATTTATGAGGTGGCTTCTTCTCTTGGCTTGGCCCCAAAGTGGGGGGCTTGACCCCTTGAAATGCCAGGTACAGAGGTCAACCCCACAGACAATGCTGGGACGTTCAGCTTATCCCCCAATGTTCTCAGGAAGGATATACCACATGTTCTTCTGTAGAGAAGCCTACAGAATGGGCTTGGGGGAAGCATTGTCTCTAGGAAAATAATTCTCCACCTCAGCCTTGAGGTTAGCAAGAGGGAGCTAAGATCACAGTTTAATGTTCTTTAAGTTTGACTAGCAGAGGATGAGGTCAATCTAAAGCTCTCCTTGGGGGCAAGTATACATTTGGAGAAAGTGCAAGAAGTGCATCACTTATGCTGTGACCCTAACTCAGCACTTCCAGGATTAGGTGATTTTACTAGTTGATAGTGGTTTACTCCAACAGGGTAGAATATTTCTTGTTTAGCAGCATATTCAGCGCATTAGTTTTTATCTCAGATTAACTCTAATCCCTGCTGTCTTCAATACACAGAGATCAACAAATATATACATACATGGAGATGTTAAGAGAAATTTCGCTGTGCTCCCTCGGGCAGCATGTGTACTAAAATTGGAATGATACAGAAGATTAGCATGGCCCCTGCACAAGGATGACATGTCAATTCATGAAGCCATCAGGCATAAGCCCTGAAACTATGCAACTCTCAGAAAACATAGGCGGTAAACTCCTTGACATTGACCTTAGCGACGATTTTTTTTGGATTTCTCACCACAAGCAAAACCAACAAAAGCGAGATGAAATATGTGGGACCAAGTCAAACTGAAAAGCTTCTGCATAGCAAAGGAAACCAAGACAATGAAAAGACAACCTAGCAAATGGTTGTATCTGATAAGGGGCTAGTATTCAAGACTTATCAAGAATTCATGCAGGGGCACCTGGGTGGCTCAGTTGGTTAGGCGACTGCCTTCGGCTCAGTTCATGATCCTGGAGTCCCAGGATAGAGTCCTGCATTAGGCTCCCTGCTCAGCAGGGAGTCTGCTTCTCCCTTTGAGCCTCCCCCTTCTCATGCTCTCTTTCTCTCTCTCTCAAATAAATAAATGAAATCTTTAAAAAAAAAAAAGAAAAGAACTCAAGCAGCTCAATAGTCATAAAAACAGGCTGGTTAAAAAAATGGGCAGATGATCTGAATAGACATTTCTCTAAAGACGACATACAGACAACAGACACATGCAAAGTTGTTAGAAGTCACTAATTATCAATGAAATGCAAATCAAAACCACTAGATACCACCTCACATTTGTTAGAGAGGCTGTCAACAAGGAGACAAGAACTAAGTGTTGGGGAGGATGTGGAGAAAAGAGAAATTTAGCACATTGTTATGGAAATGTACACTGGTGCAGCCAGTATGGAAAACACTGTGGAGGTTCCTCAAAAAACTAGAACTAAAACTATCCTATGATCTAGCAATTCCACTTTCTGGATATTTATCTAAAAAAACCCACTAATTGAAAAAGATATGTACATCCATGTTCACTGCAGCATTATTACAATAGCCAAGTTATGGAAACAACCTCAGTGTCCACTGATGGATAAAGAATGTTTACATACATGCACGCACACTCACATGCACACACATATATGATGGAATATTATTCTGCCACAAAAAAGAAGGAAATTGTGCATTATAGGAGAATTGTGCTGTGTTCTGTGTTTGCAGTGGAGAAAGTGTGTGGAGTGAGGATAAGTAAGTATCCTTTACTCTTGTTTAGGAAGTTAAATTCCAAAGAAACTTTCCCTGAAATATGTTAGCATACAATAGGTAAATTTTTGAGTATCTTATAATTATGCTAGTGTTCTCCCTACTTTTTTTTTTTTTTTTTAAGATTTAAAGATTTATTTGAGAGAGAGAGAATACAAGCCAAGTCGGGTGGAGCAGAGGGAGAAACAGGCTCCCCGCTGATCAGGGAGCCTGACTCAGAGCTCCATCGCAGGACCCTGACCTCATAACCTGAGCCGAAATCAAAAGCCAGACGCTTAACCAACTAAGGCACCCAGGTGCCCCCAAGATGTGTATTTTTGAGGTGCACCTTACACATAGTAGCACTTGATAAATCCTTGTTTTGAATCATCCTTGATAAGAGGAACACTAAAAAGCAAAATCTATGGGATATAATGAAAGGAAAAAAATAATAGTGCAGATGGTCAGATCTAAAAGGATAGGGTAACTCAGTGATGCTCTGTCCCTCCTTTGCCAGCCCCAAGTTTTACCAATTCACATTTTGAATCCTCTGAATTTCTTCAGTTCCTTGCGCCACATGGGAGAACATGCTGTATTTCCAAATGCACCCAACCAGCTATCCAAGCACCTTCAAAGTTGAGAGCCCTTGCTTTGAAATGAGCTCACCAACTCCCACAACTCCTGAGACTGAGATTAGTGAGTGCTGCATGGTGTTATATATAGTAACTCCACGGCTTACAGCCAAATGCCATTGGTTCAATTACCCAGTACAGTGGTTCCCAAACTGTAGCAAGTATCAGAATCACCTGAAGGGCTTGTAAAAACAAGGTGCTAGATTCCACCCCCAGAGTTTCTGATTAAAGAGGTCTAGACTGGGACCCAAGAATTTCATTTCTAACAAATTCCCAGGTGCTATTGAGGTTGCTAGTGTAGGGTATGGGGACAACATTTTTGAGGACCTCTGGTCTAGGGGGCCCAATTGTTTTTTCAGATGAATAGGAGCTTTTCTAGAAACATCTGTCAGCAAAAGTCCTTGGCACTTCTGGCCTCAGTGAAGATTTGAGTAGGTGTAATAGGGGCATGGACTATGAGCAGGAGGTGAGAGGTCAAGTGCTTTAGATTTCTATTCCTTCCATCCTCAAGCTCTAGGGCTGAGAACTACAGGTGTTCTAGGTGCCCAGTGGGTTTTCAGGTAATTAAGCTTTTAAAGGATGAAGTCTGCCAGCTTGCAGTTTGAAGGCAAGCAGCCAAAAACTTGTGAGAGAAAAAAGATATGGCCTTAAGGTGCTTGCCCAGAAGCTTTGAATTTATCTGATCTAACCAGGTCATGACTTGAGGGGGATGAAATTCTGCTTGTTAAAATAATCACTTACATTTCCTAACATTTGGGGAGAAGACCTCAGGGAAAGGTAGTTCTCTTTAAACTCTGCAGATTTGTGGATTGCATCCCCTCACAGGTGTAGCCCTTGGAGACTATGTAATTAAGAAAATGGAATAGTATAGGAACATCTGCGTACGGAGTTAAGATGATTGGAATGACTCACACATCTGTCATAGAGGAACTGATGTTAGGCATATATAATCATAGCTTGATTATCAAACTATCCTAAATAGAAATAGAAATGGGATACAAAGTAAAGAGAGCTTTCTGAGCTAAGGGTTAAAGGACAAATAGAAAGCAGGTGTTCCTAAACAGAGCTTTACTGTTGCATTTATCTGCACTACTCAAGTAATTTAGAAAGAGATGCATTCATTGTATAGTCTTTTTGGAAGCATTGTTTTATTTCTCATCCTTGTTCTCCTTTCCCTTTTCAATTTTACAGATACAACCTGAGTCCCTACTATGTGCAAAACAGTGTACTAGATGTTTTGTTGGATACAAACATAAGTAGGACATGTAAGCCTCTACTCTCTCGTAAGAGGCTATAATGCTTGTCAAATTACAAAGTGTAGTAGAAAGCCACCAACACACAGAGAGAGGTACAAAAGGTATTATTTGAGTAATGTGGAGGAGGGGTTATCATGCGTTCCTCTTACAAAAACCCTTCATTAAGAGAATCACCCCAACTCAACAAGAGGCTCGATGAGACAAGAACCATAACTGTTGGTATCAGTTAAATTAATGATGCATTTTCCACATTGACCCCATAATTAGTAAGAGAGCCAGATAGTCCAAGATTCAGAAATAGAAGATTATATACCCTCCTCCTTAAAATTAATCCCATGACCCTGAGCTTTGAGTCACACAGGTACCCTAATCCCTTAGCCAATGTCTTCAGACTACAGCCTGTTAGACTCTGATCTAGTCCCTTGACCTACGTACCTGGGCTGTATGTATGCTCTTAACATGTTTTGTCTTTATATTCTTCCTTCCTGTGGATGCAGAATCTCTTTATTGCTTTTATACTGTCCAGGATGTCTCTTCTATTTCTTTCTTTGAAAAGCAAGCTATAACACTTTCTTCCCTCAGAAACAAAACTTGAATTCAATTGCTTTTTCATGAGGACTAAAATGTACAATCCTAAATACAAATGTTAGGGGATACTTGGAGTCCCCTTATAATTTGGGATATCTGGAGTCCTGAAAAAACAGTGATAGAGGATGCATGTAAGCCCTCCAGCATACCTTGTAACTGTGTGTTCAAGGGAGCTGGGATTTTTTAAAGTATTTATTTATTCATTTGTTTGTTTATTTATTTATTTAGAGAGAGAGAGAGGGAGAGAGAGAGAGCAGGGAAAGGGGCAGAGTGTGAGGGAGAAAGACAATCCCAAGCAGATTCTGCACTGAGTGTGGAGCTGAATGCGGGGCTTGATCTCATGACTCCAAGATCATGACCCTGAGATCATGACCTGAGAGGAAATCAAGAGTTGACACTTAACCAACTGAGACACCCAGGTGCCCCAAGAGAGCAGAGATTTGAAGAAGACTTCAAATGGTTGGTAGCATTTGAAATCATTTTAAAGCAAATTGTGGTGGGGATATTTGTATAATAAAATAGGCTTATGCATAAAGTATGGTGTTTTTTTCTAGACACTGAGAGTATTGTAATATTTACCTCATCTACCCTTCATGTGTGGGCTGTCCAAATGACCGGCAACTCAATCTAAGCCCAAAACTTCTGTCCCTGCTCCTTGGGGCATTGACATCATCTGTTTGATCAGTTCATTCTGTTTCTAGTGTTCAATTTTAAAAAAAACAATAATAAATAAGTCTCACTTTTGAACATTCTACATAGGGTTTTAATTTTCTTGCACCATTTTAGGAATTGGATTAAATGTTAGTCAATTGAAAATCTTTTTTGGAATGGAGTTAGGATAATTACAAAGTTTTGTACAGGGAGAAGTTTGTGTGGAACTGGTCTCCTTCTCAATTACATTGTTATTTTTGAGGAAAGAGGGCAAGTGATTTTTTTCATTAGCTAGCTCAGTGACCAACACTGTCAGCTGGCTGGACAATTTCCAATAATTAAAATTGTTTCCCAAGTATACCCTGATAATCAACCACAAAAATATCATCAGTGATCCTCCCATGTTCATTTTGTTAAAGATCAGTTAGGGATAGTCCCCGACCTTAGAACTGAACACATGGAATGATATCTTACCACCTAATTTATCACAACATATTCTTGTGTGATAAAAGATGTCATCCAAATGACATAGTTTCTGCAAGTTATGTGCCGTGGGCATAGTCCTCAGAAATGGAGTTGAGGAGAAGGACCAGATCCAGCGATGTTACCCATCAGTGAACTCCTCCTTCCTATTCAGCTGCACTGGATCACTTCATTTTGAGTACCATGGCTACTCCATCAGTAGGATTCAAGAGAGAGCCTGAAGCATTCAAAAGATTGACTCAGCACGCCTAGCGCCCTTGCTTTCTCGTGCACTGGTGAAGAACTGGGTCTCAGACCAAGAGCTTTTCTCAACCCCCCATACTTACAGCTTCACCC